GGCGGGAGCGCTGCCGCGCTCCCAAGCGGCGCACTGTAGCAGTGCACCACCGGGCCGGCCCCCCAGATGATCTAATTTTAAACTGATACATTACATAACTAAATGGGGATGATAGACAAAAAAATCCCCATTTCTATTTATAATAAAGTTGTAACAGGTGTTTCCTTACTTCATGCAAGGGTCTGCTCAAGTGCCACCTCCTCCCTCTGCTTCATGTTTCTTTTTACAGTATATTGTGTCACATACCTACTTGCTGTCGTACTGCACTGCCTACCATTAGGTTGTCAGTGCTGTGGAGGGTGAGAATGTTTCCCTTTATTCTCTGGTGTTCACATTTGCAGTCAGTGCTTGGCACATGGCAGGGACTCAAAAAAAAGGGTTTTCAGTGAAGGCATGAGTGAATGAATGAATTTTCTTATCCTCAAAAAAAGTTTCATCTACTAGACTGATTAATGTAATATGGTCTACTGAGTTGTAAACCCCAAAGGTGTCCTCAGCTTCTCCTCAACTTTTTAGTTCATACTGGGCAATAAACCTTACCAGTCACACCCTCTCAGTGTCTTGTGGATTCATTCTCTCTTTTGTCACAGCCCTAGTTTACCCTTACGTCATCTTTGACTAGACTTTGACAATGGCCTTTTTAAAAAAATTGTGGTAAAACACACAGAGCAAGATTTACCTTCATAACCATTTTTAAATGTGCAGTTCAGTGGCGGTAAGTGTTTTCACATTGTTTTGCATGCTTGATAGGTCTTTATCTGGTGTTACCTGACTTTCCTGGTCAAATTTCTATTGCAGCCTTATCTGTGGGCTTATCATAATTACCTGCTTTTCTATTAGCATATGAACTCTTCGAGGACAAAGAAGGAATCTTACTAGTTCACTATCCTCAACACCTACCAGAATCAGTATTGGAACAGAATAGATGCTCAGCTAATGTCAGACACTTAGTGCATGTCCTTAAGATGTTATCTCTGTTGATACTTTAGACAACAGACTGGTTCAGTTGACTGACAGTGATGTTGTGCCACAGTGGGATGCGTTTGGTGGGCAGGATGATGGGGTGAAGCCTCTGGGGAGATTGTGCAATGAAGACACTCCTCTGTGCTCAGTGGCAGCACTGTGCTCGGGGACCACCATTGCTTCTGCTTTTTTGGAAATATTTTTTACAGTGGTAAAATACACATAACATAAAACAACCATCTTAATCATTTTTTTCAAGATAAATATTTTATCATAATTTAGAAAATGAAAATTAATGCAAAAAAATCCATTATATTAGGTTCCTGTTGCTTCTCTAACAAATTGCCACAAATTTAGCAGCTTAAAACAACACAAAATTATCCTCTTACAGCTCTGGAAGTCAGAAGTCAGAACGGAGTCTTGCGAGGCTAAAATCCAGGTGTCAGAGGAGCTGCTTTTCTTTCTGGAGGTTCCAAGGAACTTCTGCTTCCTGCCTCTCCCCCTTTTAGAGGCTGTTGGCTGTCTTGTAGCCTCATCGCTTTAGTCTCTGCTCTGTCTTCACCTCTCCTCTTCTGTGGTCAAATTTCCCTCTGCCTCCCTCCTACTAGGACTCTTATAGTTACATTGGGCCCACCCAGATAATCCAGCATAATCCTTCATTTTTAACCTAATCAAATCTACAAAGTCCCATTTACTGTGTAAAGTAACAGGTTCCAGGGAGTAGGAATGGACATCATTGGTGAGGAGGGGGGCATTATTCATCTGACCATGTCCGTAATAAATAAAATATCAATATTTGAAATAAGGACAGGATGCATGGGTGGGATGAAGGTGAGGTACTCTCAAGGTCTGTGCAAGAGTAGGGGCTGATCCTGTCTTTATTTAAAATTTGATATTTCGTTCATGATGGATTTTTTTTGTATTAATTTTTATTTTTAAAAAAAATTTTATTGAATCATATTTGATTATACATATTTTGGTTATACATGATTTGATCAGCGTTGACATATGTTGATCAAATCAATGTTACTAGCATATATATTATTACAAATCGTTTTCTTTATGCCCCTTATCCATTCTCTCCCTATCCTTCTTACCCTCCCTCCTTCTCCCTCTAATTATCCTAGATTTCTTCTCTCCTTCTGAAAGAATAATGGTTACTCTGTTGACTTGTTGCCTGGATGATCTGTCCAATGCTGAGAGGTGTGATCAGGTCCCCCAATATTATCATAGAGCAGATGCTTCTTCTGTCACTCTGGAATGGGCTTTGTGGAGAGAGAAATCCTTTTCTTTTCTTTGGTCTCTGCTGGTGACTCTCCTTGTGTCAATGCACTCCAGTGGCTGGTGGACCATCTGTGCAGTGATTGTAGTGTCTAGCTGCTTTCACGGCAGCTGTGGTTATTGTGGTGGCTGGGGCGGGCCACCCACATGGAGGTGATGTTTTTGGCATGCTTCTTGGTGCTGGCAGTGTGCCTGGTTGTGGGAGGGGGGTCCGGTCCCCAGTTTCATGCCTCAGGACCCCGGGTGGGCCCCAAGGTGCTGGCAGTGTGCCTGGTTGTGGGAGAGGGGTTTGGTCCCTGGCTCCATGGCTCAGGACCCCAGGCAGACCCCGAGGCACTGGTGGTGTGCCTAGTTGTTGGGGGGGGGGGTCTAGTCCCTGGCTCCACGCCTCAGGTCCCTGGGTGGGCCATGAGGTGCTGGCGGTTTGTGAGGGGAAGGGTGTCTGTACCCTAGATCCATGCCTCA